GTGTATTTATAATTTTTTTTTTTTTTATAATCATATAAATGCAAATTTTAATCGACACTTAAAAAAAAAAAAATACAAATAAATTTTAAAATAATAATCAAGTGTATGAAATTTACTATTGTGAAACATGTTAAAACCTAAAAAGTATTGAAATTTAATTGAGCAATTTAATTTTAGGCTGAACTAATATTATTTTATTTACCTTCAATTTAAATCATGTTTATTCGACAAAAACAATAATATATGTAATAATTATGGGTGAAATTTCAATTTGTAAATAATTTTTTTCTTTATCTGTATAATAAATAAATTTAAAAGACTACATAAAGGTTAATAATAAAAAAATAAATCCATGTTAGTTTCAAATAATGTAAAATAATTTATTAAAGTTTTACAAGTCAAAAATTATTATTTTTTTTTTGTTATCGAATCGAAAACAAAAATGTTTTAATTTTTAAAACGAAAAAAAAAAAAAAGAATTCATGGTTTTGCATGAAATATTTATAAAATGATATAAAAATAACTGATAAAATTCATGAAATATTAAACTTAAAGTAAAAATTGATACCAGATTTTGAAAACATATTTACATTGAATAATTTTTTTTTTTATGTTTAGTCGTATATTGTTTAAACAAATCCACATCTCATCATAAATGTTAAAATATTTATTGACATTAACGTACGTTTTAAAATGTTAAAAGAATATTATTATTATTATAAACTTAGAAAAAACATAATTACACACAATTACATATTTAAAAAAAAAAAAAAAAAGTTTACTCTTGAGAAAGAAAGAAAAAAAATTGGTAAAAGAATTGAATAATTTTTTTTTTTTCTAGTCTCCTTGAAAAAAAAATTTTTTTAATAAAAAAAACAAAATTACAGTTTTATTGTTTACCTAAAAACATAAAATTAAACAAAAAAAAAATTTCCAATCAAATTCTATATATATATATATTAAAATAAATTTCATTGAAAAAATAAAATGCCAAAGAGAAATCTAATAGCACAGTGAAAGTTTCTTTTCTTTTTTTTTTTTTTTTTTTTTTCTGTGTGTGTACATTTTTATTAAAATTCAGGGATATCGGTTAATAATAATGATAATAAAAAAAATTTACTATTATTTATTAATTAAACTAATAATAAATAAACCAATTAATAAAATCATGGTTCGATAGTATCTCACATAGTAATTATTTTATTTTTATCGTGTAATTTTTTTTTTTAATTTCAATTTTATTATTTTTATTTAGGTCAAAACTTAATTGGTTACCTTATCGAAAATAACAGCTAAAACTAAAATAAATAACTAAATAATTGTTGTACTAAACTACAACATCATCAGAATTAGTTTTAAATTTTTTTTTACGTTAAAATAATTATTATTAGTATTTATTCATTTGTAATCGTATGAGTCTCTGACTAAGCCATTTTATCAATACAGTAACCCATGATAAAATTTTTTTAAATGAAATTATTATTATTATTTATTTATTTATTTACTATAATTTTTTTTTTTTTTAACGATTCCTTAATTATAATTTACGTAAATTAATAATACTTTAAATTTCATTTTATTAAATCAAAAAAAAATTTTTTTTTTTTTTTTTAATAACTAAAATTACATTCACTTGAAAACAAAAAGAATTTTTTCTTTAATATGCTCTAAATATTTTCCACTTCGTTAATAACATAATAATAATAATAATAATAATAATAATTGACCGTTTAAATATTCACCTTTTTTTTGTTTTGTTTTATTCGAGTGAAAGTAATTTTTTTTCTTTTTAATAACAATAATAATAATAAAAAATCATAATGTGAAATCATTAATAAACAATCGGAAAAATAATTTTAACGTTTTTTTTTTTTTTACTTTAAAATATTAAATAAATTAGGAAAAATTTAAATATATTATATATTATATACTGAACGTGGTAATCAACCGTGAATTGTAAAATTACACAATAATTTATATTATTTGTTGTTAAAAAAAAGTTTAAAGATAAGTTATCAATAACAAAAAAATTTTTTTTTTTTACAATTTTTCCGTTAAGGATTCTATTTAAATAACTTACGACCGCTAAAATAAATAAATAAATTTAATTTAATCATTTATAATATAATAATAATATTATAATAATATAATAATAATATTATAATAATATAATAATAATATTATAATAATATAATAATAATAAGGATTTATTAATTTAAAAAAAAATGGGACGGGGTCAAATTGGGAAATGAGGAAAAAAAAATGAAAAAAAAAAAAATTCGCGTACTCTTAATGCAAATTTCAATACATTTTGTTAATATTATTATTATCACTTTTAAACACGACAAGGTTCTTATTTGTTGGGGTTTTTAAGTTCATTTATTCCAGGTTTTTTACCCGACGATTCCTTAGGGATAAATGCTCGAATGATGGAGAATTCTGAAGAATGAGGGCCGTCCCACATAGTGCGATTTCCTGGATGGTTTCTTCTTCTTTTAGGTTCTTCAAAATCTTCTTTAAATTTCCCTTTATTGAATGTGGTGGTATGGCTCCCAATGCTACTCCCACGATGACCGGAATAGTTTCTGCCTCCTGCTCTCCACATCCTGGCTATTTCAATTTCCGAATTTCTACATTCCAGCCATATTATTATTATTGTGGAAATTAAATGATAATTTTTTTCCCATTTTGTTTTTTTACAGGAAACAGTTCTTAGCGTTTTCAGAGATAAACTAGATGATTTTGACGGTTATGGTTACATATCATTGGCAATAATATATTCGGTATTTGCCGTATGTAATTGGATAGCACCGTCTATAATAAGTTTGACGAGTGCCAAATTTTCAATGATATTGGGAGCCATCATATATGCGTAAGTTTTTTTAAAACAATTTTGAAAAATTAGGTTCGGTTTTGGGTTGGTAGAAATACCACCACTGCCACAATTACCACCACCACGTACGATTAATTTAAAATAATAATAATAATAATAATTTACCGGTTTTTTTTATAATTATATATTTATTGATTTGTTTATTTATACATAATCGTAGTGTAATCAAGGTATGGGTTCTTTTACGTTAATGACCTTGCCATATGATTTCTTTTACCTTTCTTTTTATTATTATTATTATTAACAATAAACAAAGCTTCTTTTTTTTTTTTATTATTCGTTTTAAAAAAAAAGATAAAAATTGATTTTTAATCGTATGAAATTCGATTCATTTTTATTATTGTCATTATTATTTGAAAAAAAAAAAAAAAAAAGAAAATGATATTTAAACGATAGACAAATAAAAAGTTGTTGTGTAAATTTAATTGAATTTTAATTATTGTATCAAAAAATTGATACGTTATTTTCTTTTTTTCTTTCTGGTGGGGAGGGGAGTAAGGTGAGGTTAGGGAGTAGAGGGGGAAGTTAGAGTTTCTTTTCATAAATCGAAAAAAAAACAATAATCGAATTGTTTCGCCATAATATTTTGGAAATTGAATGAATGGAGAGAGAGAATAAATAAATTTTTTTTATTCGCGATGAGTTTGTTTGTTTTGTTTGTTTTTGTTTGTTTGTTTCACGGTTGACTCGGTATTTAAAGGATTTAATAAATTATTTGTTCTCGTATGACAACGTTAAAGCAAACACACACACAAAATGGGTACCGATGGTAAAAAAAAAAAAAAGGACGTTTACAGTTATATTATTTTGACGTTTTTTTTTTTTTTTTTTAAATAATGATAATGATGATGATGATTTCGAAATGGAATTTTTTTCACGTAATTTATTTACGAGAACTTGGAAATTATTATTATAAATAATTGATAATTAAAAATAATTACGTTACTAATTAACTCGTTTTCTTTCTCTCTCACTCTCTCACTCTCTCTCTCTCTCTCTCTCTCTTTCTCTCTTTCTCGAATGTATTTTAACGAACGGATTTCATTAGCGTAACGCATAATTTTTAATAAAAAATTTATTAATAAATTTAAATTGCATCAATATTATTATTGACTTCCCTATTCGAATAGACACAAAGATGATGATGATGATGATGATGATGATGATGATGATAATGATGATGATGATGTTGATAACATAAAAGCTTTTTTTTTTTTAAATCGCCTTTAATTTTCCAGGATGTGATATTTTTTTATTTGTTGTTGTTGTCGTTAAAATTATTATTATTATTATTTACTTTTAAAGTTCATCGCGTCCGTGAATTTAATTTTAAAAAATCAGGTTTTTTTTTCGAAAAGGTGATTCCAATTTTTTTTTCTCTCTTCTTTATTCAAAACGATATAAAAAAACTTTTACGACGGCATTTTGTGACATGTAATAATAATAATGATAAATTTATCGTTTATCTAAATAAGATCCGCATTCATTGACCAACGTGTAAAAAAAAAATAATAATAATAATAAACGTCTTGGGTATGCAACAGAAACAAAGCAACTGGTTTCTTTTTTTTTTGTCTGGAATGACACGAGTAAATATTTTGGAAAATTTTTTTTAAAATAATTTTCCGGGCGTTTATTTAATTATCATTAGGCGTTACACTATTTTCTATTTTTATCAAGGTTTATTCGAACGTATTGAAGTTTACCTTTATTAAAAAAAAAAAAAAAAAAAATGAAAAACTACCCGTTTTTTTTTTTCGAATTACGTAAAAGATGAAAAAAAAAATGAAAATGAAAAACCTGTTTGAAAATTCGAAATGCCAAAATTTACATTTTCATTCGAGTTTTTTTTTTTTTTAAAAAAGTAATAATTTAAAAGAGTAGCCGTAATCTCTTGTCGCACTTTTTTTTTTCGGTAATTAATTAAATAAAATTTATCTCGAAGGGAGGGAAGGGAAGGGGAGGAGGGAGGGGAGGTGAGGGAAAAGGAAAAAATAATAATTTGAAAATTTTCCACAAAGTTTTTTTTTTCTTTTAGATTTTCCTCAATAGAAACTTGACTTTTTTTTTTCTTATACTTATGATAATTATTTATATTTATAATTGCGACATATATATATATATATATATACGCACACGCACACGCAAGCACGAATAATATCGAAATCGTTGTAGATTGTGCAAATTTTATATAAAATAAATAAATAAATAAATAAATTTTTAGCAAATATATTTCTAAATCGTGTTTTTTAATGAAACCGTAAGTTGTTGCCCATAAATTTTACCGTTACCAACATTTGAAACTTTAAACAAATATTTCTATAAGTAAACATTTCGCGACATTTTTATTTTTAAAAAAAATTTTTAATTAAATTAATTATTGGATTTGTTTTTGTTTTATTTTGTTTGTAAACTAAAAAACTTATTATAATTGATTTATTGTAATCTTTAACGATTTTGTCGGTATCTATCAATCAATCAATCAATCAATCAATCAATAGTTGAAAATTATTATCGATAACTTATCGTAAGAGTTTTTTCGGTCGGGGGAAAGAGGGGGAAATTTTTTGCCTTACGAGAGAGTCGACAAAAACTTTTGTTTTTAGACTTTGATAATTCGACCGGTTTCAATTTTTTATTAAACTTTGATCATTTGTTATTATTCTTGCACATGGATGGAAAAATACAAAATTTTATTGATTTTCGAATTGCCTTTGCCAGAAAAAATAATGTCAATGACGTAAAAACGCGGGTAATATATGACAATTTCTGGGTGGTACTTTATATTATTATTATTATTATTATTACGTAATTGACACGAACAGGGAAAAAACATGATTTTATTTCCCTCGCATTTTACAATATCAATCGTCGATTTAATTGCATTTAAAATAAAAGAAAAAAAAATTTTTTAAATTTTCGAGAGAGAGAGAGATAGAAAGAGAGAGAGGGAGGGAGAGGGAGAGATTAAAAACTTGTGCATCTCAAAGAATTACGTAATAGAAAAAATAAATTTCGTTTTCTTTCTTTGTTTTTTTACCTTCCACTTCTTGATTAAAATTAATCTTTCTCTCTCTCTCTCTCTCTCCCTCTCTCTCTCTCTCTTATGTAATCCTCTTTGAAGGTTTTATTACCTAAGTAAGGTGGCAAGTTCATCATCATCATCATCATGTTTAAACCCTCTAACGCATTTTAATAAATTTTCATTCTCGATTCCGAGTTTACCAAAAAAACGTAGAAAAATTTAAATTTTTTTTTGGTAACTTTTTGACAGTTGGAACAGCAACAACAACGCGAATAAACGTTGTTTGTAGCGATTGTTTCGAAAATTATTTATTTATTTATTTATTTTTCGTTTGAAATATTCGATTAGAATAATCTAAAATGTGCTTCAAACATAAAACATAACTATCACCGAATCACCTCCGCAAAAAAAAAAAAAAAGTTCATTCGAATATTTTTTTAATTTTTTAAATAATAATTCCGAATCGTATTCGAATCGGAACATAAATAAATAAATACATAAATAAATAAATAAATAAAATATATTTAATTAGAAAAAATTGTGACTAACTATTCTAACTGTTAACTCATCCATTAAAATATTTATAAAAATAAATTATTACTCGAATAATTTCGAAATTTTTTTATTTTTTCTATAAAAAAAAATGTCAGCGGTTTTCCCCCCCACTTTAAAAAAAAAAAAAAAATTCCTACTCTTACTGCTACTGCTACTACTACTCCTACTATTATTATTATTATTATTTGCTTATTTTAAAATGCGTTAAATGTCACGGATTCGAATTATCTTCCAAGGCTCCTTTAAAAAAAAAAAAAAAAAAAAAATTGATGGAATCTTTGAATGTGTTGCCTCGTGCAAACAACACCTTTATACATTTTTTATACACACGCGCACAGACACACACACACAATGAACGTCTCGGCTTAAAAAAAAAAATATTATAAAAATAAAAACAATGTTATTATTATTTTAAATGATTCAATGCTCTCTCATTGGTATAAACAATCAAAGTAATGGATTGCGGCGAACGTGGTTGTTCGTTAGAATAGGCTCTTTTTGTTGTTGTTATTGTTTTTGTGGTTGTTGTTGTTGTTGTCTCATCAAATGGCAATCGGTAAAAGAATTTTTTTTTATTTTCGGTTAAAAAATTTATTTATTTAATGATTAAAATAAAATTCTTTTGCCATTTGGCAAAACGGAAAATATCCTTGAAAGAAAGAAAATTATTATTATTATTATTTCAAAACGAGGAAAAACTTATGATTATTACGTAATAAAATTTGAAATTTTTTTTTTTTGGAAGGTAAAATTAAGTAGAAAAAGGGTAAAAATTATGATAATAATGATAATTATTTTATAGACTTTTCATAGTATCATTTTTGATGTTGAAAACATGGCTTCTCTACCTAATGTCAGCAATTCTTGGTTTCGGTGCTGGAATTATTTGGACGGCACAAGGAAATTATTTGATAATGAATTCGGATAAGACGACCATCAGTAGAAATTCTGGAATTTTTTGGTTCATGCTTCAGTGCAGGTAAGACATTTTCCCACCTTACCCCCCCCCCACGCACCCCCCTACCTTCCTCCCGATTTAAAATTTTTTTAATTTTTTTAATTTTCCAGCATGTTCATCGGAAACATTTTTGTTTATTTTCAATTTCAAGACAAAGATTTAGATTTAAGCACGATAAATGTTGTTTTTATCGTTATGAGCGTCGTGTCAGCAGTCGGAGTTGGATTTTTATTCACTTTGAGACCACCGAAAATCGAAGTTAACAATTCCACGGACCAACCGAATAATTCGGAAAAGGAAAAAAAATCCGGAGTCGAAGCATTGAAAAAATCATTTAAATTATTTGCGACAAAGGAAATGCTTTTGCTCGTCGTGACATTTTTTTACACAGGTGAAATTTTACAAAAAAAATTTTCCAACGGTTTTCCTTTTTGAAAACTGAAAGGAAAACAAAATTTAAATTAATTAAAACTTTAACACTCAACGGTTGCATACATAAAAGATGAGAAATATTTTTCGTGGCATTAGGGAGTGTAGTATTAGTAAAATATGAAAAAAAAAAATTTAAAAATGGCAATTAAACATATTAATACCTTTTCTTTCAGGTATCGAGTTGTCATTTTTCAGTGGGATTTACAGCACGAGCATAGGTTTCACAAATCAGTTTAAGGAAAAAGCCAAATCACTCGTAGGTCTATCGGGTGTTTTCATCGGGGTTGGAGAACTCATCGGTATTAAACTTTTTTTTTTTTTCAAATGTTGTCACAACTGCATAAATAATTAAAAAAGGGAGGGTAAGGGTGACGATTATTATTAATTTTTTTTTGTTGTTTTAGGAGGTCTCATGTTTTCGGTAACCGGTACGAAATTAAGCAAATGGGGAAGGGATCCGATTGTTGTTTTTGGATTTTTAATTCATCTCGTTTCCTTTTTTCTAATATTTATCAATTTGCCAAATTCTTCTCCGATACAAGCAACGGACGAAGAAGCTTACATAAATTCCAAGTGAGTGACAAAAAAAAAAAAAAAAAAAAAGAAAAACCTTCGATGGAAAATCGTTGTTTTTATCAAAAAATAATATAAAAATTTTCTTTTTCCAGCGAATATTTGGCATTGTTTTGCAGTGTTTTGTTAGGTTTGGGTGACAGTTGTTTCAACACTCAAATTTATTCAATGTTGGGTAGTATATGGTTCGAAGATAGCGCACCCGCCGTTGCCATTTTTAAATTCGTACAGGTACAAATGATGAAAGTCGAAAGGGGATTCCCGGATTATTACAAGTTTAAGGTTTAATTTGTTTTTTTGTTTTTTGTTTCCAGTCTGTCGGAGCCGCCGCGAGTTTCTTTTACGGCAGAAGTGCAAACCTACAAATACATTTAGGTATTTTATTATTATTATCTCTTGTGGGTACTTCGACGTTTTGTTTAGTCGAATGGATGCACAGAGCGAAAGAAAAATCCGAAAGGGAAACGAGTACGAGTACTTTATCGTCAAAAGTAAGTTCGAAAACACAACAAGAATGTTAAAATTCGTGTGGTATAATAATAATAATAATCGTTTTAGAATCGTTAATTTTTTATCAACTTTTTTTTTTTTTTTTAATGCGAAATTTTTTATAAATGAATTTTTTTAATTTATAGGATCTTGCCACTTTTTTTTTTCTTCATTTACTGTTGTGCGTGTGTGCGTAAAAATTTTCTTTTTTTTTGTTCTTCCCATTGTAATTTCGTCTGAAATGGTCTGTTGATTTAAAATTGAATTTGGAAAATTGTAAGTGACCGTTTGTTTGTTTGTTTGAAAACGTTAGAAAGTGAATCGATCTTAAATAAGTTTATTTAAATTTTGCTATCGTCAATGTAAAATGTTTCTTCTTCTACTTACTTCTGGAAGGAGGCAATATTTTTTGACGCTATTGCCAGTCCAAAGTAGTAAACTGCACACTTGTTGACATTAATTTTTTTTTTGGCATAGTTTTAAGTGTTTGTTGGAAGGGAATATCCATTAGGTCAGTGTGATACGATATTCATAATCTAGTTTTAGCAAAAGAAAGCTTTATTTTAAAACATCTCTCGGAGGTCTTCGATGGTAGAAGCACCAAAATTGGAAGAAATTTGCAGACTTTCGATAAGTTGTCATCTTATATAAATGTTTCAAATGATTTTTTGTTAATTTTTTTTAGTGTAAGTCAAGAGAATCGGAATCGGAAAAATTTCCAAATTGTTTGTTGTCGCTTGTTGGACAATTTGGGTGGTTTAGAAGAGTCAAAAAGTTGATTTTGCTCTCTTTTAAAGGAGTCATTTTTATTTTCGATTGTTTGTTAGGTTTTTTTGACGATTGCTTCATGTCTGATCTCACCGAATTACCCCCTCTATCAGGTGTTAAACTGTATTGAACTTATTGTTGCCTCTACAATTGATTGCACATTGTTGACAAGCTAAGACAAATTTTAGGACGTTGAGGTTAAAAACAAACATGGCCGAATAATTTTCCAAAATTTTTTTTTTTATTTTAGTCCGTTTTAAAATAATTAAGAGTGAGAAAAAGGCACGCACACGCACACGCATACGCAACAGTAAAATTAAAGTGTATCTTTATTTCTTTTTTGCTGTCGTACTTAAAAGGTACCGGTTTCATTTTTTAAAATTATGTTTTATCGAAGGAATGAACTGGTACCGAATAAGAAAATTTGAATAATATTTTAAAATGTCATTTGTCAGAGGGAATCTTACTGCACGCGAGCATCCAAAATCGATCCACATTAGTCGAAACATCCACAAAAAACCAAACCAAAAACAATCATTCACATTCCCGAGTACAAGTACCTACAACAAGTCAACCAACCAACCAACCTACTACCTAAAACAAAGACGAGAACGATTTTTTGGGACGTCAAATAGATTTTCATTGAAAATCCTTTTTCTTCTCCCCCACCACACCTCCCCCCTCGAAATCCACGAACGATCCCACGACAATTCAAAGGAAACCGGGGGGAGAAAAGAAAACGAAAAAAAATTTATCATCAACGTGTCGTTTGTCGTTTGTTGCCACAACAACTTGTGATACTTTTTTTTTTTTTTACGACGAATATTTTCATTATTTATTTTGCTAGCACGAACGTGTCAACTCACGTTCTATTTACGTTCGTGCAAAAAAAAAAAAATAAATAAATACATGTAAATAAAATTTGCTCAATTTTCACAAGCAGAAAGAAAAAAAAAATTGTTTTTGTTGTTTGTTAAAATGTTTTAGATTGTTTGTTTACTAAAAAAAAAACTTTCGATTTTTTTCATTCGTTACGAAATCTCGCACGGAAACCTCGACGACATTAAAAATTTTTTTTTTCTTCTTCCTTCTTATAATTTCCTTCTTGTTGTTGTTTTCTTTTTATCAGCTGATAAGGTACGACTATGACGTCAACGACAAAAAATTTTTTCTTTTTGCAATTACAAAATTATATCAAATCAATTTGTTTTTTTATGCTTTTAAACTTTTTTTTTCTGTTTTACTTATAAGTTTAATTAGGAAAATATTTTGCGAGACGTGGCAGTAGACGTGTCGTTTATATCATTGTGGCAACAAGACATAAGTTTTGACTTTTACACTATTTGAAATTTTCCTTTGAATTTTTCTTTTTCCTTTCTTTTTCTCCCTCTCTCTCTCTCTCTTTCTCTCTCTTTCTTTATTTCCTTCATTTTTCGACTTTTTTATTATTATTATTTGTTTTTCTTCGAAAATAAAGGAGGAGTGGCTTTCATTTTATTATTTTACTTTTTGGGACGGTCTTAAACGCTTAAATTTTTTTCTTTTTTTTTTTCTTTTACGACTTTTTTTTTTTTTTCAAGAGGTTTCCAATCAATAAAAAAAAGGTTTTCATTAGAGTGTAGACGTTAATCAAATATTTCTTTTTTTTGTGTATTGATAACTCAAATAAAACTCGAATAAAAAAAAAAAAAAAGAAAATGGAGGAAAGAGAATTTAAAAAAAAAAATATATATTTATTGAGAATAACAAAAAAATTAAACGAGAGTTTATCCGATGATGCCAATAAATAAATAAATTGTAAAAAAAATAATATTAGTAATAATAATAATAATAATAATAATAATATTAATAATAATTATAATATTAATAATAATAACGACAACATTCCAAGAGTTTTTATTGTTGTAAAAAAAATGAATTTATTATTATCATTTGTTTATTTACATAATATATATTTTATTTTTTTACTTTATTACCAATATCATCATCATCATCATCATCGTAATCATTTATTTAAAAAAAAATTTTAATAATATAAGCTAATCGATGGAAAATTTTTTTTTTGTTTGGCTGGCCAAATGTAAATTTTTTTTTTTTAATGTTTAACTTATGTAATTCAAAAGGTTTTCATTTGAAAATGATGGAAAAAATTAAATTTTTTTTTTTATTATTTTCCTTCATAAAGACTGATTTGAATTATTATTATTATTATTATTACTATTATCATTATTGTTTTTAAATTTTTATATATATATTTTATGTAAAAGTTAATTTTATATTTATGTATTTTTTTTTTTTTTTGTGCAATTTGTAAATTTTTATTAAATAAATTTTTTATTCAAATTTTTTTTTTTTGTTATTTTGGTAAACCTGATTTGATTTTTTTTTTGTTTTTAAACTGTTTTTTTATTATTCGTTGAGATGAGTTTTAATTAATTTTTTTATTGAAATGATTTAAGTATGAGTGATTGATTGACCGATTGATTGATTGACTGATTGATTGACCGAATGATTGACTGATTGATTGATTGTCGAATTAAATCGAATTCGTTGTAAATGTCAAGCGTGAAAATTTTTTATTTTTTTAAAAATGATTTTCTTTTCAAATTTTGAAATTTTATTACGTGGTTGGCAAACGTGATCGATCGGTGGTACTTATGCCCCCCCCCCACATTTAAAATGATATCCATGATAACTAATAATAATAATTAAAATTTTTGTATTTATAAAAGTTTATTTAAAAAAAAAATCTGATGACGTCATAATGATGTCGGAAAATTTAAATTTTCTACCCTTTAACTCTCTTCCATTTAAATTTTTTTTTGTTTTCTTCCACCCCCCTTCCCCTTAAATTTTACACGATTGAAACAATAAAAAGAAAATATTTTTATAATAATAATAATGATAATAAAAAAAAAAACCGCGAAATCTTAAAAACCTCATACACAAAAAAAAAGATCCCTCGCGCTTTTTTTTGTCAACTTTTCAACTTTTTAATTTTTATTTTTTTATATGATAAATATACGTAATAATAATAATAATAATAATAATAATAATAATAATAATAATAATAATAATAATAATAATAATAATAATAATAATAATAATAATAATAATAATAAATATATTTAACCTCACGTCAACTTTATTTACATATAAAATTACTTGGAGAAAAAAAAAATCATAAAAACAATTTTTTTTAAACAAACTCGTTAACAAAATGAATCCGTTTAAAAAGTTTTAAATTATTATTATTATTATCATCACCGTCATTTCTTTTTTTTAATTTTATTATTAACATTAAATAGCAAGTTGGAAAAAAAAAAAATTAAATTTTTATCATTTTTCCTCCTCCTCATCATCATCATCATCATCGTTATTATTATTATTAACCAACGAGATTTTTTTTTTTCTAATGAATTCCGAATGGTGGCATTTCATTTAACAACATTCAACAACGGCGGGGTGACTCGTGCTCAAGCACCTAAGAATGAATTTCAACCAGGTACTAAAAATACAACTTTGACGACAACAACGACAAACAACAAACAACAAAATAAATAAAAAAGAAAAAAAAAATTACTTATTCTTTGTATGAAGTTAATGTTTGGTGGAATTCATGAACAGGATGCCGATAAGTTAAACAATGTGTTACACACAATTATAACAGAAAATAATATTATTATTATTATTATTTAAACGTGGCGGCAGGTGGTGAATCGTGTCACTTAAAATCATCTACTCGTCGTTACGGACGAGTAGATTTTTTTTTTTTGACTCTAAATGAAATCCGATTTTTGGTAAAAAAAAAAAAAAATTTAAAATTTGGAACAATGCGTGTGTGTGGGTGGATGTGCGTGTGCACGTGCACGTATTAAAGTTATTTTGTGTCATCTGTATCTTAACTTTATGAAAAGTTGACGGGGGGGGGCAGACGTGGGGGGAGGGGTAGAGGGAGAAAAGAAAAGAAAAGGAAAAGTTTATATCATGTCATTATGTGTGTGTTCACTGCCATCAATTACTCGACATATTAAATTTACTTTTTAAACGTTTCCATTGGGGGGGAGGGGAAAAAATTCTCCATGAAAATTATTTTTTTTCTCCAGAACTGGAATTCATTTTTCCAGTTAAATTTTTTTTTTATATTTAAATTAAAACATTTTTTTGCAACAGAAGTTTTTGGAGTATTAAAAATTATTACCTCGAAATAATTTTCCTTAAAAGACTTAATTAAAAAAAAAAAATTTTATGTCTTTTTAAAAAA